CCCCCCCCCCCCCTCACTTTTTCAATTATAAGTGATTTATAGGAACAAAACTCACTATGCGTACAGATAAAATGTCTGCTGAAATCACCCTAACATATTCATATTTGACAGTTGTGTAACGTTCAATTACCAACAGCTTCAGGAGAGAAGCAGAGGAAAGTAAGGAAAAAAAGTAAGAAATATGAATAACATTTCCTCCTCAATTAAAGTACTTTTTAATTTTTTTCCATAATGCATGCCTTTATATGGTATACATTTTGGAACATTGTAACCTAACTGGCTGGATTGGTTGATGATTGTTTGTCTTTTTGTACCTGGTGGTACAAGGAAAATCTCCAATGGCAACACTGACAGAAATGTAATTTTTTTTTAGTTTACAATCCTGGTTAATTTTTTTTATGTGTGAGTGTAACAATTATAGATTTCATACCTAATTGAGTAATTGACCTAGATAGAAGAAGCAATATGTGTGCTACTTGTTCTGGTACAGTGTCTCAGATAGAACTGCCATTATTGGACCGGCATGGCAGCCAGGAAACCAGTAGTTTCAGGTATATAGGTCAGGAAAGGAATCTGACATAGTTCCCGCAACACGTTTCCTTTTACAAGAAAAAAAAAGGATTTTCATGGTAAAATTCATTGATGTTCATTAAGGTACTGTAGATATATAACCTGTGGGTATACTACCCCCTATAGGATGACTGGACACCAAGTAAAAGGGAAATGGGTTGGCTGCATCTAATAGCTATGCTCATGTATCTGCTGTGTATCTTAGTTGTAGTAAATCAGTAAGAAAGTACGCTAACAACTTTCCTTTGAAAAGGGACCTGAACTGTGGAAACTGTGCCCAAAAAAAGCAAGCAGAAAAAAAACACAATTATTGCCTATAGGCTCCTTGCATTTCTACTACTGACTTACCATCCCTTGTTCTGCATTCTGTCACTGTGGGGATGCAACATCTTGGCAGAGAAGCAGGGTTTCCTTCCTGATGATTGATGGGATAATCATCAGGAATAAGCAGGAGAGCCGGAGGAAGCACAGAATGAAGCACAAGCACGGAGATGCTAACACTGCAGGTGCTTAGGGACAGCTTCATCTCCACCAAGGAGAACAATGACATCACCAAATATCACTTAATATCTTTTGAGACCAGCAGTCGTAGACAGCAGTGCCTTACACTGCAAAGTTACTTTTTAGAAAGTACACTGATATTTTCAGGAGGCATTCACTTGAAACAGTAGATTTTTAAGGGTACTGCTTAGGCCCACTCAATTTTTCTAGATGTTCCCTATGAGAAAACAAAATCTCTACTTTTTAGTTCAGGTCTACTTTAACATGCAGGCATGCAAATGTGGCAACAAACCAACCAAAAATAAGCACCCAAGATGGGAGGGAGATGTGCCTCTCAATGAACATCATAGTAAAGAACTGTTAGTACAAAAAAAAAAATCAATTATCTCCATTGTTCATTTGTGTCTCATCTTTCAGAGGCACACCATGTAAATTCATACATGTAAGATGTCCAAAAGCAGTCCCAAAACTGTGGTAGGCAAAGACAGCCAAAATAACAAAGGGGCAAATCTCACAACCCAGGGCAAAATGAGTAAAATGACAACGCTGCATGAAGGACCTTCAAGCCAAAAATAGCTTCCTTTTCATACAGCCTCATACATCTGATATTATTGATAAAGTTGTGGATATAGACCCAGGTTGCGGTTTTACAAGCAAGGGCGATCAAATTCCAGTAATCGCTTACTGCTCTCAAAGAGTGAGCAAGGATGGAAAAGGAGGGATCCAGATGTTTCATGACATATGCCTATGAATCCATCTGGAAATCATCATACTGGAAGCTATGGCACCCTTACGATAAGTTAAAAAAATCTGACTTCCGAAGAGAAGCAGTGGCAGCCCTAACCACATCAAGGGAATGAAGAGTAATCCTTTTGGATGGACTAGGGCCAGGACAATGTAGAACAATGCCCTAGATAAGGTGAAAAGAGGACACAGCCATAAAAAGGTTGGCTTAGGTCTTAAAACAACCTTATGCTTGAAAGGGACAAGGAATGGAGCCTTGCAGGACAAGGCTGTCAGCTCAGAAACCCTCTTTGCTGAGGCAATAGCTATAAGAATTATTGTGGAAGTAGGAAAAGGGCCTTTACATGTAGCTCTGAGAAACCACAAATTATAATATATCAAATTTCCAAAAGTCTATTTACAAACAACATGCATTTTTTTTAACCATAAACAGTAATTCATACATTGCCCCATAAGGGATACATATACATAATAAATATAAAGTATGTATTATAACCATTATCATTTGTGGAAACTGCCAAAAATAATATATATAATCTCTGAACCCTTATCGACACATTTCACTGCGATTTATGCTTCCTCAGAACAGAGTTGAATTATGGCTATAGTTATTTGGAGGTCCAAAATCCAAAAGATGGTATATACATGGAATAGCCTGAAGCTGGATGGGCACCGTACAATGTACATACCATCTATTGAAGTGTGGACCTCAGAATAACTGTAGCCATAATTCAACCCTGTTGTGAAGAAGTGGAAATTGGTGCAAAATGCGTTGACATGGGTTCAATGATTGTATTGTTTATGGGATTTTTAACAGTTGATGGCACCCCTCTGATAGTTCCACAGTACATATATGGATTACAGGGCCATTTATGAATTTCTGTTTATGGTAAAAAAATGATGTAGTTTGTAGATAAACTTTTGGAAATGTATTATTTCCTGCTTCAACAAACCTTGTTTTAACAAAAATGTGACCAGTTATTGAATGGATTCGGTTGTGTCTGGTTTTATGCTATGGAGCTTCCCTTGTTTCTTTTTTTCTGATACAATTACTTTTAGTGGCTGGAATTTGAATACTGTTCTAGAGAAGTTCTATATTTCTCCACTTTGGAATGAAGGGCAAATGACCTTGTTCATTATGAGGTCATGGCTATCTGGTGAGTTAACCCTCACTGGGGGGTGCACATATATGGTGGATGATCCCTGTATATTATATGTTATGGTGGATGATCCCTGTATATTATATGTAATAACGGGTGTGATAAATCATGGAAATAATTACCGGCGGATGACTATGGTAAGGTTGTCTATCATCCCTGCCTGCCGGGGACAGTCCCTGTTTTGTGGACCCTAACCCCAGGAGAAGGATCGCGCGGGGGGGGGGGGGGGGGGGGGGGGGGGGGGGCACAGAGGCACTGCATGTATATGGTGGATTTATATGTAATAACAGGAGTGATAAAGCATGACATTAATTATTGGTGGATAAATATAGGCATCACCATTATCACAAACTGATAAGTTTTTAATATGTATGCATTTTTGTCATTTTCCAATTTAATGTTTTCTTTCGGTTTAAATGTATGCACTGTTGTGTTATTGTATGATTGCACTCTGGGTACATCTTGTTGGTTATGTATTTAGATGAAACACTGAGATCTTGAGGAATGCTGAATTAAGCTTTACTTGGTTAGAAGAATGTTACATGTATGTATGTATACAGGAATACAGCATTATACAGGAAACATAGATAGAAAAACGTATGCCCACTGCTGCCGCTATGACTTGACTTGTCACAGTGGCAATGTATAGAAGCCTTCCGATTGCTCTCTGTTACATGTCATTGTTTGGTAGCAAGTTTTGTGCTTCATTGCTCTTTTGGTAGCCTGGTTCCATAGGTGTTTTTACTTCCTTTGCATCTTGCATGTGGAATTGTTCAAAATTCATGCAATTTTCTGACTTTGGTTGAGAAGATAGCTTCCATGTTCTCTCTCTATTTGAATTCCCAGATAGTGATGGATGTTCCCTAGCTCTTTAATTTTAAAGTTTTGTTTTAGTTTGTTAACTATTTGACTATAGTCCTCTTCATGTTCAAAACAGGTTATAATGTCATCAACATAAATTAGGATGGATATCCATCTGTCTTCTTGATTCCTGGAATAAAGACAGGGATCCGCTTTGCTTCTTGTGAATCCCTCATGAGTATTTCATTCACTTTCTCATTCTTGCAGATTGCTTGAGTCTGTAGATGCTCTTTTGAAGTTTACACAAGAGGTTGTGTCCTTGCTAAACCCCTGGTGTTTCCTCCATGTAGAGATCTTCCTTAATGTCTCCATATAGAAAAGTGGTTTTAACATCTAGGTGTTTCACTTGCATGCTCTCCTCGCCTGTGATGCTAAGGAGTGTTCCGATGGTGAAGTGTTTTATGACGGGAGTGAATGTTTCATCGTAGTTTTCTCCAAATTTCTGGGAGTATCCCTTAGATTCTTAGATTTAAATCTGGCCTTGTATTTGTGGATATTTCCCTCTAATTGTGGGGAAGCTCAGTGAGTGTCCAGGTTTTATTTTCTTAGATTTAAATTTATTTAGTCTTCTGCTGCCTTTCTCCATTGATTGGCTTCACGTTTTGGTAATTTTTC